AATCTCTAGTGGGCAAATGTAGAACCAGGAGGATGGTGGAGTTGTGGGGTCAAGTGGTTGCCCTGTCCAGGTGACACACAATTCTAACCTGGGCCAGGGAAGCAGCAAGGAGCAGAGATGGAGAGAAAAGAGTGAGTGATTCCAAGGTATTTGATCATAAAGTTCACTATTTATTTATTTTTGATAAACACTTAGAAAACACTTCTTGGAAAGGAATTTTGGAAGACATCATGGTATGTAATTAAATGCCAAGGTTTCTTTCACTCTTGAAAGAGCTTGTATATTTTGTGCTGTGGTGCTAACAACGTAACAATGTGATCAAGTAAAGATACCTACAAGTTAATGAGAGAAAGTGAACTCCTTCCTCTTGAGGATATGGTCCACAGGGAGTTATGCTATCAGCCCTAGGACCAGGATAGTGAGAGAAAGCATGGGGAATCTATGTTACTTCTGGTACTTCTGTGTCTAACAGTCATGTGTACAAAGGCTCTCAGTCGATGTTTGTGATGTCTTTTTTGTTTTTTATATTTCAATCTATGCTGCATTCTTGCTGTGTCCTTTAATAAGGAAGTCCTTCATTTCTCTTTTGCTTGGCCAGCTTCTTCTCTATCACAAATGCCAACATCCAAAAAATATCAGCATATAGGTCTTTTCACATTGTAGGCCAATTATCTGCTTGTTGAATGATGAGACTAAGTGGGACATCCTTGGAGTGAAGGGCCATGCCTCTCACTTCTGGCTGGAATAGCCTATTCCCTGCTGGGGATGGATGTAAAATAGCTATTCTGTGTCAGGTGGAGTGTGCAATGTTCACCCAAGGTGACCTTGGACACTAAGAATGGGATGAGCCAAAACGTGTCCCTGCCCTTAAAGAACTTGGGCACTGCTGTGGTGCATGGGTGACCCCTGGATTCTCTGATGTCACTATCACTGGGGGGTCATCTCAGTTCATATGTGCTGTGTAATATTCCATAGTGCACAGGGCAGGCTTTAAACCAAGAAGTCCCTCCTGTCCCCACATCTAGCTTATACTCAACTGCTGAGCTTGAAATTCTACCGTTTATGCATTTCTTTTTCAACCAAGCAATGAAGAAAGGAATGCCTCCAAGAAGTACTTTTAAGTGATAAAAAGAAATTTTATTTGAAAAGAAAAAACAAAACCAAGGGAAGGGCACCATGACTTCTTATGCTGCTTTTACTTGTACATAGACTTGTGCTTTCTTCCTCAAAATTTCTCTCCCTCTCTTCCTTCCTCCCTCTCTCTTTCTCTCTCTTCCTCTCTCTCCTCCCTCCCTCCCTCCCTCCTTCCCTCTCTCTCTCTCTCTCTCTCTCTCTCTCTCTCTCTCTCTCTCTCTCTCTCTCTCTCTCTCTCGTGCATGCACTCTCTCTCTTTCACACACACACACACACACACACACACACACACACACACACACACACACACACACACACACACACAGTCCCTGGCACAGTGAAAGTCTGCCTAGATGTCTTTTCACTTTTCAGCACATAGAGATACTGTACACCAACAGATCCATAGGCAGGGCTTGGAACCCTAAGTACCCCCAAAGCCCCAGTTCTCTCACTTTTCAGACAGGGGGAGTCTTACACCACACAGCTGCTTGGTTCCTGAGCCACAGAGCGCTGGCTGGAAGGGGGGAGGGGGGGAATCATTCCAGGGAGGCTCTGGTGCCTTCTTTCTAGAAGCCACAAGCAAAGGAAACAATGAGTAGAGCACCCCGGGGGGACAGTGCCCCCTAGGATTTGCCACCAGGCTCAGGAGCTGCTGAAGTAAACAAAGGCAGCTGCTTTTGTGGCTATCTCCAGGAACCCTGAAAAATGAAATGTTTACTAAGGAAAACTTGGACAAAGCAGGAGGAGAAAATATATCATTTCCTGACAGTAGAGGGGAGAAAAGTGGGAGGCCAAGGGAGCCCTGTTTCCTCCTCTTGTTGACATTCTGCAAGTGAACTGAGGTCCAGGAAAAAGTGTCTCTCTGTATTCAATTTACTAGGAATGAAGCAGACTTACAGCTGGCTGTGCTTTTAAATTGCATCAAAATGCTGCAAATAGGTTCATTACATTGCCCTGGTTCCCCCCAGGCAGGGCAGACAGACAGACAGACATTCTTTTTAGACCTCTCCTTTGTAGGCTGAACTTCAGGGTGAGGAGCTCAGCAGTGAATCCCCTGCGAGCTGATCTGCCTTTCCTTAGCCTTGTAACTCCCAGACTCCCAGCCACGCTACCAGACCTGGGGAGGATACTACCATACTATCTGTAATGACTAACCGACAGTTGATCCTTTCCCCAAAGGAACTCCTCAGCATTATCACTGCTGGGCAATAATTCTATGGATAAATGACACTCTTCTTCTTTAATTCCAAATAAATTGGCTTTCTTAGGGTAGGTACTATATGCTGAATTTTCCCTTTGATGTCATTTGTTACTGCAATGCTGCTATTTCTTACTTTGCACTAATGTCACCAAGCTAGTAAGAGGCAAAAGCTAGAACTCACAAACAAGATCACTGTTTATGTCTTATAATGTAGGTCATGTTAATGTGTCTGGGACACCAGTTTACTCAAAGGATGGCATGGTGTTTTCATGTAGGGTTTGGAACATGCATCGTTCCAGTGAGAATAGTTTAAATAATTGCTCAAAAAACAATGTTTGGCTGGCCCCACAGCTGACTTTTACACACCCAAGATAAACAATCTAATAGATCAATAGGACCCATTTCTTTGTCTGCTACTTCCAGTGATAGGTGAGCAAAAGAAACAGAAACTAGTTGTTATTTCACCATAGCTCTGAGGAGAGCCTCGGTAAATGAGAGGTGAAAATAGATAGGTGGTTACAGGCATTTGTTCCACATACAAGGTACAGCTGAGAGTTGGGTGTTTCTCTTTAATTTTGCTGTTTGTAAATAGGATCTTTTCCTCCAACTGTTCTCTTCCTTCCTAAAACCTGTCATTAACCACACTAAGTACAAGGTGCCCTGACTTTGAAGTTGTCAGTTCATTACAAGATGATTACCTTCAGAATCAACATGATAACAAGTGTGAAAGAGCAGAGCTAATAAGATGTAGAAAATGAATAGGCAACGATTGCCCAGGTTTGACAAGTAGGACTCTAAAGGAAACCTGTGCTTTGATCTCCAAACTATATCCGTCTAGCTCTTGTGACTTTCTGCTACAGTTTAGTCATCGTTTCCTCCCAAGGGTTTGTGTGCAGGAAGCTTGGTCTCAAGCATGTGTGGAGAATCTGGAAGAGGTGAGCCTAGTGGAAGTTACTAGGTCATGTTGCTCTCATGGAGTGATTTTCTTCCTGTGAGAATGGGTTATTATATAAAGAACAAGACTTCTCTAGTCCCTTGCTTCTTGTCTTCCTACATAATCTCTTCTGCATGCAGCCCTTTCCCTTCCTCTTTGTCTGCCAAAATATGATGCAGCCATGGGGTCCTCACCAGAAGTTGAGCAGAGGGATTATCTGAATTTGGGCTTCCAACAGCCAAAACTGTGAGCTATATAAACTCTATTTAGTGCCCACCTTCAGGTATTTTGTCATAGCAATGAAAAATCAACTAATGTACTCCTCTTCCCTAAAATAATCTTAGAATAAAACACAAGGAACCATGGCTTTAGTTTGACTGCAGATTACATGATGAATTCTCATTATCAAAAATTCTTGGGCCATCTTTCTGTGTTGACTTACAGTTTTCTTGTGATATATTCAGATGATCATTAAATACACATTTGTATTTTATATTGGGTATGCAAAGAAAAGAAGTGACCATTAGATATGTCAATATTTTCCAAGTTCCCAAAACTTAGGAACTTGGAAAATTAATGATGAGTGAGAATGATGTTTTTACTTTTATGTTATCTAGGTATAAGGATAGATATTAGCTCATTTGAGCCACAGGAAGACACAGCTTGGTATACAAGTGAGATATAAGTTATTATATATAAAGTCAGCTTGAATTTAAGGAGCCAAGACATAGGGGTCTCTGAATGGGAGAGAAAACCACACGATGGTGATGGAAGGCTGCAGGCTTTAGTGTGTAAGACAGTAGCTTAGCAGCATGGCAGAAGGATATAATAGGAAAATGTGTGTGTGTGTGTGTGTGTGTGTGTGTGTGTGTGTGTGTGTGTGTGTGTGTGTAGATTAAGCCCTGGTAGTCTTACAAGACAGGGTTGATAAAGTACATCCCATTGGATTAACCTGTTCCCCCCTGGCCTGGGGATGGTCTCTAAAGGGACAGATATCCATGAACAAGCCATATATTCTAATTCAATGACTGTCAAGTGCAAAATCATCTGATGCACTCTATCAGTCTCCTACCAGTACAACTGCTATACAAAGGGAAAATAATCATTTTCAGTTTGGGGTGCCTTTATTGGTCTCTGTTACCATTTGTAATAAGCAAATCCATAAAGTCAGGAGGACACCATAATTTGACAAATAGAGATATGGTTTAATGGCGTTGGATAATGATCTGCTTGCTTGCTTTTTTTTCAAGGTCCAATAGGGTTAATTCTAATATTGAGGATTTGCTTCTATAGAGAGAGAGAGTGTGTGTGTGTGTGTGTGTGTGTGTGTGTGTGTGCACGTGCACACGCACATCAGTATGCATGTGTTGTGATAAAGATTAGTTTTTTCTATCAGAGTATAATAGCATTTTGGAAGTAAGTGTGTTGGGTGCACTTATGAAGGTATAAAATGCTTTGTTTCATTCTCAGGGAATACCATATAGCATTGCCTTGTGTACAGAAGTCCTCAACACAGAGCAATAATAATGATAACAACAACAACAACTATTCAAAACCCTAGCTACTTCAGGAGCCAATCCCACTTGCACAGAAAACCTGCCTAGGCTGCACAGGGTGCAGGGAGGCAGATCCTGTGTCTGTGTGTGAGGCAGGAAAAAGAGACCAAGACATGAATGGTAGAAGAGACATGGGGATAATAATACACCTCTCCTCTGGCTCTTCTCTTGCAGTTCTATTCTGAACCCTGAGTTGATGACGCTGTTGGGGCTGAGCTGCTGAACATCGCTGCAAACAGTTCTGGTCTTCTGATTGGCCACAGTGGAGATAAGATGGAAGACTCTTACAAGGATAGGACTTCACTGGTGAAGGGTGCCAAGGACATTGCCAGAGAGGTGAAGAAGCAAACAGTGAAGAAGGTGAACCAAGCAGTGGATCGAGCCCAGGACGAGTACACCCAGAGATCCTATAGTCGCTTCCAGGATGAAGATGAGGACGATGACTATTACCCCCCTGGAGAAACCTATGATGGGGAGGCCAACGACGATGAAGGCTCCAGCGAAGCTACTGAGGGCCACGATGAAGAGGATGAGATCTACGAAGGGGAGTACCAGGGAATCCCCAGCACGAACCAAGGGAAAGACAGCATCGTTTCGGTAGTGCAGCCCAAACGGGAGGAGTACAAGGACCGCCGAGAGCTGGAGTCAGAGAGAAGAGCTGACGAGGAGGAGCTGGCCCAGCAGTACGAGCTGATAATCCAAGAGTGTGGCCACGGCCGTTTCCAGTGGGCCCTCTTCTTTGTCCTCGGTATGGCTCTCATGGCAGATGGCGTGGAGGTGTTTGTCGTTGGCTTCGTGTTACCCAGCGCTGAGACAGACCTGTGCATACCCAATTCAGGATCTGGATGGCTGGGTGAGTTGTATAACTCAAAAAAGTTTCTATATGATCGAGTTGTTGAGCAATGGTGTCATGGACAATAGCATTACCTTTTCTTCCAACTTAATTTTTTGTTGTTGTTGGTCGTGGAGCTTGATCCCCGGGCCTGGGCACTGTCTCCGAGCTCTTCAGCTCAAGGCGGGTGCTCTATCACTAGAGCCACAGCGCCACTTCCAGTTTTCTGGTGGTCAATTGGAGGTAAGAGTTTCACCGCTTTTCCTTCCCCGGGCTGGCTTTGAACCGCTATCCTCAGATCTCAGCCTCCTGAGTAGCTAGGATAACAGGTGAGAGCCACCTGCGCTCGGCTTCAACTTCAATTTTTATTAGGAAAAAAATCTTAAAAGATACAAAAAGTAAATAATTGTACAATTGACACCTATATATAAACTATATCTATATTCTGTCATTTTTATCTCTTACATATTCATCAATACAGCTGATTTTTATGCACTTTAAAGTAATTTGGAAGCCGGGCACCAGTGGCTCACGCCTGTAATCCTAGCTACTGAGGAGGCTGAGATCTGAGGATCACCATTCAAAGCCAGCCGGGGCAGAAAAGTCCATGGGACTCTGATCTCCAGTTAACCACTAGAAAACCAGAAATGGTGCTGTGGCTTAAGCGGTAGCGCGCTTGCCTTGAGCTGAAGAGCTCAGGGACAGCACCCAGGCGCAGAGTTCAAGCCCCATGACCAACAACAACAACAACAACAAAAAGTAATTTGGAGCAATCTATTTTAAGTTATATTATTAGTAAGTCATATGATAATGATTGAGATACATTCTGGGGATTACATCAGTACATGATTGCTGTAGGCTGGCATCATGGAATGGTTCTAAACAAAGATGACTAGGGAATCACTAGGCAACATGATCTCACGGGACCACCGCTGTATATGTGGCCTGTCCAAAATATGATCACGTGTCACACTGGTATTCAACATGACTAGACTTGCATTGGTTTCTTCTTTATTAACTTCCAAGCTGTCTGCTCCTGAAAGTTACTTGACAACTTTCTAAATGCAGAGACTAATTCTCTTTGATTCTAACAAATGTCACTTAATTTTTTATATAATGCTGCAATTTAAATCTGTTTCTCTGCTAGTATTTTTTCCCTACAATCTATGTAAATGTCTGCTTACTTTTTTCACTTAGCCTTATCCTTAAAATATTCTCTGGGTGACCTAAAAATTCTTTCCTCAAGATTCGTACCTTTGTGTTGAAGCTGGAAAAAGTCCATCTTATCATTGGATATAAAATCAATTTCAGATTTATTAATATCTAAATTATACACATTTAAAAATACTATGCCCTCCCTGTAAAATATCTAGACAGTAGATTAAAATTTTAAATTAAAATTTCCATGTATCCAAGATTCTCATTCATAGGAAAGTGTCATTTGCATTCCAAATTTGTGCAGAGAGAGAGAAGGCAAAGAAACATGTACATAGAGGAATAGCCCCATTAAGACCCCACTTCAAAAAAAAGCAGGAGAGATTTCAAACCCTTTTACAAATTTCCCTCCATGAATACGTCTATGTGTATAAAAAAATAATGACACTAAGAAATTTTATGTATAACTAGGCTTGTCATTTCCTAACTTTTCGCTTTAACAACATAAAACAGATGGTCCAGAAGAGATTTGTCTTTTTTTTTCCTTTAATAACTTCTTTCTTTAGTATGACTCTCCTCTAGTATTTGTTTCTTCATGTTTAACTGGGGGGAAAAAAAACAAACATGGATCTATAAAAGCAGACTGAAGAGTCCAGTGGGAGTCAGGTGGGGAGGGGCATAATTTGCATTTTTGTTGACCCATTTGTGTGCTCAAACATCAAAATATAGACCTCAGCATACTTTTGAAGAGAAACTGTGGTCACTCATCAATTTGATCAGCCTAGCAGATCCGTTTTGTTCCTATCCCTGTATTTGGTTTCTGTTTATTTGCTTTTCCCTTTAGTGAGCGAGCATATCAGGGTTAAGCTGGATATCAACATTTTTTTTCAATATTTTGCTAAAGGAATATATCAGCTGAATGTTTCCTGAAGATAGATCTTAGAAATTCATCCACATAGATATTTAATCATTGCAGGCTTAAATTGATGCCAGCTCTACATTAAAACATTATGGAAACACTGGCCCTCATGCCTTTATCTCCTGAATGCGGAATGGAAACATAGCACACTGGGTTCTCTTATCAGTCTACCTGCCAAGCTCAGCACCCTGATGACGTGACACCCACAGGTGGCATTCGGAAGTATAGATAACACAGCAGGGCAATAGAAACCCAGACTTTTTCATCTGTCCATAAATGTCGCCTGCTTTAGTGAATTAAAAATGTGTCCCCAGGAATGTGTGGCTTCATTTGATGGTTTGAGTCTCCCAACAGAAGCATTTTAATGGTTTCATATCCATGCCTTTCAGACTTGCATTTCAATTATTTTTGCCATTGTAATTTTGTTCATAATTGCATTCTAACAGAGTATCTTTAGACAAGCATTTAAGTTGTTTTGCCATTTTCATTTCATCAGCTAATAGCTTTGTAATATAATTACCACACCAAGTCACAGCAATGGGATCAAAAAGCAAAAAGGAAAGATGCATGACCCGTGTTTGGTGGCATTTTGTGGAAATAGGTTTTCAAAATAGTTTGTCATTTGCTACTGAGAATTGAGTCATTTTCCTCAAGGAAAACCAGGAATAAAAATATGACCCAATTTATGTTTTAATTATTGAGGAGATTGATCTTCTTTTTGTGTTTGCCAGGAGATTGACGTCAAGGTAGCTAGGACATATAATGTGTGCAGGTGTCTGAGTTGATGGCCTGGGTGGTTAGATAACATTGTTAATTAGGCTGGAAGAAGTGAGAGTAAATATTTAATTATCTAATGAGCTGCTCTTTGGGGGAAATAACTGCTGTCACTTTAAGATAATCCATTCTTTGTTGCCAAAGTCTATTTATTAAGCATTTACAGTGTGTACAGCACAGTATTAGCATAAGACCTAATAAAACAATGAGAAGAGGCAAGATTTCTTTGTCCTAGGAAGTTATAGTTTAGTGTAGAGAAATCACATATGTGTGTCCATTACCAGAATAAGGAAACAAGTTATCTGTAGCTAAAACAAGAACTTCAAGCAGGGCAAGCTCATTAGGGATAAGATCCTGGCTGAGGCAGTAGGGAGGAGGACCAGATGTGGAAACGATTCCAGAAATTGCCAGCAAGATTTGGTCAGCTAAAGGGCAGTGCCCAGGTGCTAAGTTCAAGCCCCAGTAGTACGGGCACAAAGAAGAAGAAGAAGAGGAGGAGGAGGAGGAGGAGGAAGAGGAGGAGGAGGAGGAGGGAAAAGATCTATGAGCCAGGTGCTAGTGGCTTATACCTGTAATCCTAGCCACTCAGGAGGCTGAGATCTGAGGATTGTGGTTTGAAGCCAACCCAGGTGGGAAAGCCTGTGAGACTTGTATCTCCAGTTAACCACCAGAAAACCAGAAGTGTAACTGTGGTTCAAAGTGGTAGAGCTCTAGCCTTGAGCAGAAAAGCTCAGGGACAGTGCCTAGGCCCTGAATTCAAGCCCCACAACTGACATAAAAAATCTATGTACTACATTATCCTGCCCATGTAACGGTAACTCCTCTGTACAGTATGTTCACAAATAAAATTAAATTAAATTAAAAAAAAAAAAAAAGAAATGTACTCATTACCTTGCTCATTAATTGTAACCCCTCTGTACAGTATTTTCACAATAAAAACTTATTTAACAAAAAAAAAAAAAAAAAAAATCTATGTACTGAGGGATATAGAAACAGGTCTGGATTCTCAGCCCATGGTAGCAGGGCAGGGTTCTCTCATAAATCAGGCATCTTCCCTCCACTGTTGAGGAGTAGGTGCTGGTGGGTGCACTCTGTGGGAACACAACTGACCTGGCTCCTGCTCTCTGGCTGGTGAGGGGTTACAGTGGGTTCTGAGCAAGAAGGACATGTGAACATTTCAGGCTCAGCCCTACCCTGGTTCTGGCCTATGACAGCAGATAAAGCTCTCTGGATGCTCACCTTTCTCTCCTCCAGTGGAGGACCTGGTGAGGGGCTTGTTAGGGGACCCTGCTCTGATCTCTTTCCCTTTTCATCAGAACAGGCTCAAATTCATCTGACAGAATACACTTTGTGTGACTGAAAGATCTATGACCTAACAACATTTTAGGCCTCTTAACTGGAACATGGGTGGGTTCACCTGCCACAATGGTTTGAATGCAGTATTCATAGACATGTTAGGGGGCACTATAAGGAAGACTGAGACGATTAAGGTTCAGAGTTTATCTTGCCAGAGGAGTCGTGATGCTGCCCAGCTCGTGGTACTTCAGTGATATAGACAGACATGTCATCTTAGAAACCATTAGGAGACCTGGAGAGTTTTCATCACTTGCCTGGTTGATGCTAGCTACTGGCTGAACCCAGCTATACCACACACATTGTAGCTCTTAATTCCATGTTCAGTTCAGTTCCCTAACATTGTCTTTTCATGTACTCTTGATTAAGCTGTACTTTGAAAGAATATTCTCAATTCCTAATGAAATGACATCACTTTGGTATCTCAAGCTATAACCTAGAAATTCTGGGTTTGTTTGTGAATTTCAACAGTGTAATTGCATACTGAGCTTAAACATTGTTCTCCCCTTTCAAAAACCTTAATGGAATGTAGAACTTGCTTTTGGTATTTATAGGATGTTCTTAGAGGTAACAATCACAAATGAAGAATTTGATTACCTCAGAGAATTAACCTATAAATTCACCCCACAGTGCAAAATCATCTTAAAGAGACAGAGTAGCAGCCAGGCACTGGTGGCTCATGCCTATAATCCTCGCTACTCAAGAGGCTGAGATATGAGGACCACAGTTCAAAACCAGCCTGAGCAAGGAAGTTCATAAGATTTTGATCTGTAATTCATTACCAAAAAGCCGCATATTGGGCTATAGCTCAAGTAGTAGA